TTGATACAACTATTGGCACAAATGAATGTACATTTTCTGTTAATGAATGGCAAAAGGTGTAGTAACATTAATATTGAAGTTACACCATTCTAATTGCTTACTATCAATCACGTGACTTTTTTGGAGTTAACTGAAGGGCAAACAAGCGGTTGACTGAGGGGCAAACTAGCGGGTGTTAGGTCAAAAAATGGCAAAATAAGTCCTCGAACTATTGTATTTGACTATTTCTACGACATAAAACCAGAAAACAAGAGATCAAAACAACCTCCAAGATTCTACAAGCCATTAAAAACGCAGCTATTTCCGGAAGTGACGTCTATTGATAGCAACCTATTCTGTATCTAGGACTTTTTGCGGGACTTTTTGACTTTATAGTGAAGTTATTTCCAGGTTTCACGGTTTGCGCAGCTCAGGATCATCGTGTTAACTATCCTTAAAGCTTTCAAGGTGAGATTATAGTATACGATGTAAAAAACTTACTACACGAATGCATCGCAAGTTTGGAGCATATATTTTCTCTCTTTTTGCAGTCTATGGCTTTCATCATGATTTTGCTGATAACATTCATGTACATCTTTGCCGTGGCTGGTACCGTCATATTTGATACATATACCAAGTCGAACCGAACGGATCTCAAGTACAAAAACAGTTTTAGGTACGCTTCCTCTCGTCCTTAAATTTGTTCAGCTTGCTTCGTCATCTTATCTTGTCTTATAGGACAACTTGGATGAAAACGCCCCAATTTTTGAAAAAGTCTGAATATTTGTTGAAGATAATGTGACTCAATTATGATCATGAAAACCAGTTAGTGAAAAGTTTTAGCCTGGGAGCCACTTGCAGTTGAGAAATTTTGATGTTGAATAAAATTGATAATTTTTATCCACAACTTTTGAAGAAAATATGTTGCTTGACTACTATTAGGGGAATTTTCCCTTGATGGGGCCATATATATAGATTAGTAATTTCCAATTTTCATTGATTTTCTTTCCCGTTAATCATCTTTTAGCACACTTGGAAATGCCTTGATCACGCTTTTCCAGCTCTTTACCCTCGACCATTGGTATGAAATACTGAATGACCTTGTGAAGGTAGCTGATGACATCACAACCAAGATTTATGTAATCCTTTGGATTTGTATCGGTGCTTTTATCTTCAAAAATATCTTTGCA